TACATCAGAGTAAAAAGCAAGAAGCAGAACGTGTCTAGAAAAGAAAATGAAAGATATTCTGCAACAAAATTACAACCAAGAAAACCGTTTTCAATCAAAAATCGTTTCTAACAAAGCAAAACAATTACCATCAAGTTACCTCATAGCTATAAAATGGACATTGCCAATCTGTGTAACTTGGGAGATTTGAAATCATTCCTCTTGTAAAGTTTATTTCACTTTTTAATCGTCTTCGTAGACCACGGTGGTGGCTACACTTTCATTTCAGTTCTAAATAAATTTCAAGGTTGGAAATTACTCTAGTTCCTATTTTTAATTAATAGGCGGAATTATTCTTATTGAATATTTCTTTCTATTTTCTTATTTAATGGACATGAATATTTTTATTAGCAGTACTAGATCTAGTATGGAGTAATTATCTTATGTTGGGAGAATGATGGATCTTGATAATTCTATATAATAGTGAAAGTTTATTTTTCAGTTTCACTTGTTTGGTTTGAAACTTTCAATTTATAATTTTATCAGCTTTTATAGTTAGATGTTACTTAATTTAGTCATACATATTCTCTTTGTACCACAAACTAACCTGTTATTCGTTTTGTAATCGAGAAAGGCGGAAGAGGTAATAAGATTAATAGTGGTGTTGATAAGTGTTGACATTTATTTAATCACATCTATCTGTTTTGTAATATAATTTTATTTTATACTAATTCTGAAATCGAAATAGGCGAATAGTATAAAATTCAAGTTATAAAAAGTAAGGTAACCGAAAGGGACTTGCTTTGAAAAAAGAGCACGTTTCAATTCAAGTATATTTTTCTGGTTCTTTAATATTACTATCTTGATAATTAATTTGTATAACCGAGAGGAATGCTGTTAATTGATCAATTTAAGTAATCATATATAAGTGTAATCAAAAGAGGCATTTATGCATTGTGTGAGAAATAGAGACTAAAAAATAAATATATGCTTTTTAATAGAATTATCAAGTGAAATCAGGATCCCAACATCTTTATCATATTTGTTAAAACCAAAAATACTTTTCTCTACGGTTTGTTTGTTCATTATTTGCTTGTTAACTCTCAACTCAACTTTTTCGATTCTCTCAAATAGTAATTAAAATAAAAAAACGTCTGTAGAATAGATAAACCAATCTATGTGGGTTCGACATCTTTCTATACTATTATTTGACAGAGTACGAGTTAGAATTTTATATACGCTAGACACTCGTCACTATACTTCCTCCTCGTACTCCGCACTCTACAGGTCTGATGACACGATCCCAAATACCCCGGTCGTGATGGAGCCTATCACAGTACTAGGCAAGCCAAACCAATATTTACCACATCGAATAAAATCATTTTCTAAACTGATTAAGTCTCAAATTCTTCATATGAAATATATAAACTATCAGAAATAAGCGGAAAACCAGTACAAAATATTCTAACACAACCCGAATCTGGTGTCACTAGTCATGAGCCTCTAAGTACAACCCAACAATGTCTGAATAATACATAGTAAGTCTAAACATAAAAAAATACTAAGATAGGAAGGAGGAAGTCAGGGCTACGAACGTCGTGCAGCTACCTTGCGACCTCCGAATACGACTCTGAGAGTGCTGGAAGCTCTCACTCTGATGCTCGGGCACCTGGATCTGCACACAAGGTGCAGGGAGTAACGTGAGTACGCCAACTCAGTAAGTAACTAAGGTAAGTATAGTCTGAGTGCAGTGACGAGCATTTAAAGATCATATATAAGAAATTTCAACAGAAATATCAAATCAAATCTGCAGTTCAATAATCAGTAATCTCATAAAACTCCAGTTTCAATTGAAATCATTTTAAAGACATTTATTCAACATTTTTCAACAGGGGTTCAGAATGAAAGTAGAGTGAAAACAGCATAATGTCATAAACAAGCCCCTCGGGCAAGGTACCACTCATAAGTATAGCCCCTCGGGAAAGCCTCTCAGTTACTCGTGACTCAGCTCTCGTCAATTAGTACTCACACTCAGCACTTCGACTCAATAGATATCTCATAATAATAATAATAATAGTAATAACCACTACGGCGTGCAGCCCGATCCATAGTTTATAGTCGACTACGCTCACTGTGGGTGTACAGACACCGGAGGGGCTCCTACAACCCAAGCGTCATATCGCTGCGGCGCGCAGCCCGACCCAATACATATCGATGTGGCGTGCAACCCGATCCATATAAATATCGCTGCGGCGTGCAGCCCGATCCATAATATATAAATATAATATCGCTGCGGCGTGCAGCCCGATCCATAATGTATATATATAATCCTCACCATTAGGTCCTCAACCTCTCTCAGTCATTAACCTCACGGCCTCTCGGGCATATCGGTGAAAATCAGGGAACTCACCCCAAACAGTTTTCATATATTAAGAAGTATAGTAATGAAACCGATTTTAAACAATAAACAGATAAAACATGACTGAGGATATGCTTTCAAATCAAATAGAGTGAGGAAAGTAGCAAAAATATCCCTAAGGGTCTAGACAGGTCGGCACAAGGCCCCAAACACGGCGTACAACCCAAAATATAGTATAAATCTCTAAAATACGAAATATCATAAGATTCAAATCAAATACGCAGCTTAATAGCCGCTACGGGACGGACCAAGTCACAATCCCTACCGGTGCACGCCCACGCGCTCGTCACCTAGCATGTGCGTCACCTCATTTATCAAAACAATACGAAATACCGGGGTTTCATACCCTCATGTCTAGATTTATAATGGTTACTTACCTCAAACCGGATGAAATACTACTCCGCGACGCCCTTGCCTCTCGACTCGGCCTCAACTCGTGTCGAATCTACCCAAAATCAGAATCATAACATTAGAATATGCTATGGGAACGAAGCCCATGCAAAAATAATCAAATTTCATCAAGAAACCCGAAATTGACCAAACTCGATCACAGGCCCACGTCTCGAAATCCATTAAAAGTCACATTAATAGAATCCTTACATTCTCACGAGTTCGTACATATCAAATATACCAAAATCCGACCACAAACGACCCTTCAAATCATTAATCAAAGGTCTCCAATTTCAAGCCCTAGTTCTTCAATTTTTAACCACTAATTTTCATAAATTTCAAGCCTAATCGGTTAGAAACCATCATAGAAACAAGTTTAGGGTCCAAAAACCTTACCTCTACGAATCCCCTTGAAATCCCTCTTCAATTTGCTTCCTCAAGCTCAAACCCGTATGAAAATGGTGAAGAACAACTCAAAATCACGAAGGAGGGTTTATATACTTTCTGGCCCAGGGTTTTCGCATCTGCGGTCCATTTTCTGCACCCGCGGAGCCGCTTCTAAGGTCAACCAAACCGCTCCTACGGTTTTCACTTAAACCCTGGAGCCGCACCTGCGCATATCCTTCCGCACCTGCGGTCTCGCAGGTGCGCTGAAACTTCCGCACCTGCGCCTTCTGACCTCCTTGCCCATGGCCGCATCTGCGGTTTCTCTTTCGCTTCTTCGATCCCGCACCTGCGGTCCCCAATCCGCAGGTGCGGTTATGACAGCAAATTCAGCAGCTTCAACTGCAAAAATCCAACTCTCAACTCCCCGTCAACCATCTGAAATCACCCCGAGGCTCCCAGGACCTCAACCAAAAGCACTAGCAAGTAATATACCACTAACCAAACTTATACCAAACTTTGAAACACCCAAAACAACATCGAATTAACAAAATACCCTCGGATTCAAGCCTAAGGTTTCCAAAAACTTCCGAATTCTGCATTCGATCAAAAAGCCCATCAAATCTCGTCCGAAAGACCTAAAATTTTTCACACACGTCCTAAATGACACAATGGACCTACTCCAATTTCCGGAAGTCCATTCCTACCCCTATATCAAAATCTCCGCTACCAATCGAAAAATGCCAAAATTCCATTTTCGCCAATTCAAGCCTAAATCTACTCCGGACCTCCAAAATACATTCCGATCACGCTCCTAAGTCCCAAATCACCTTACGAAGCTATCCGAATCATAAAAATAAAATTCCGAGATCGTTTTCACACCAGTCAACTTCCAGTTGACTTTTCCAACTAAAAGACCAACTCAAGAGACTAAGTGTCTCATTTCTCTACAAAACCACTCTGAACCCAAACTAACCAACACGATACCACATAATACAGCTGAAAAAGACATAAAGAAGCAGAAATGGAGGAAATGGAGCGGCAACTCATGAAACGACCGGCCGGGTCGTTACATCTGAGGAGATCCTTGAGGACAAGGCAGGATCCTATATGGCTGAAGGACTTTGTGTCATAACTTGGACACAAGTATGTTCCCTATTCCATTGTTAAATATGCGTCCTATGATAGTATTTCTCCCAAATATCAGGCCTATTTGATAGCATTTTCTACAATCCCGGAGCCTACTTCTTTAGAGCAAGCTGCTCAAGATCCTAGGTAGGTTAAAGCTATGCAAGCTGAAATTGTTGCATTAGAATCCAATCACACCTGGGATGTGGTGTCCTTACCTGAAGGCAAGGTGCCTAATGGTTGTAAGTGGATCTATAAGGTAAAGTACAAAGCTACATGAGAGGTGGAGAGGTTCAAAGCCAGGCTGGTGGCCAAAGGGTACAGGCAGCAGGAAGGCATTGACTACCAAGAAATATTTAGTCCAGTAGTTAAGATGGTTACTGTTAGACCATCCTAGTTGTGGTTTCCTCTGAACATTGGCACATTCATCAAATGGATGTGTACAATGCTTTTCTTCAAAGAAACCTATATATACATGACCTTACCATGGGGCTTTTAGAGTCAGGTGGAGACAAGACCAGCATGCAGACTCTTGAAATCCCTGTATGGGCTCAAACAGGCACCAAGACAGTGGAATGTTAAGCCGTCTGAGGCACTTCTGAGGTTTGGCTTCATGCAAAGCCAACATGATCACTCCTTGTTCATCAAAGGGTCAGGGGAACACATCATAATCTAGGTATATGTTGATGACATGCTAATCATGGGGCCTAACGTGACACTAATAGCTGAGATGAAGACCAAGTTGCAGCTGACATTCAAAATGAAAGATCTAAGAGATCTTAAATTCTTTCTTGGCATTGAGTTTGCCAGGTCACAAAAAGGCATTCTAATACATCAAAGGAAGTACACTCTAGAGCTGATTTCTTAGCTTGGACTGGGAGCTGCAAAACCTGCAGCAACACCTATTGAAGCCAACATCAAACTGACCACTAAGGAGTATGATGAACATACTAGCAGCTCTAATGCAACTTATGATGAAGTGTTAACAGACATCAGCCAGTATCAAAGGTTACTGGGGAAACTACCATACTTAACTGTCACAAGGCCAGACATAGCATATAGTGTTCAAACACTAAGCCAGTTTATACAGAAACCGAAAAGATCATATTTGGAAGCTGCTCGGGATGGTTAGATATATGAAGAACCAGCCAGGTCAAGGCATATTGTTGTCTAGTAAACAGAGAAACAATATCACTGCATATTGTGATGCAGACTGGGAAGCCTGCCCTATCACTAGGAAGTCAGTAACAGTCTTCTTCATCAAGTATGGTGATTCTCTGATATCCTGGAAGTCAAAGAAACAAAGCACCATTTCTAGGAGCTCTGCGGAATCTGAGTACAGAAGCATTGCATCAATTGTAGCTGAATTGGTGTAGATACTTGGTCCGTTCAAAGACATTGGTAAGAGGTTGGCCTCCCCGTGGACATCTACACTGATAGTAAAGTAGCAATTCAAATAGCTGCCAACCCGGTTTTTCATGAACGAACCAAACACATTAAAATAGACCTTCACTTTGTAAGGAAGAAGATATAGAATGGTCTGGTACAAACAGAATATGTAGCTACAAAGGAGCAGTTAGCAGACATTTTAACCAAAGGTCTACCACGAGTGCAACACGAGTATTTGCTGTCCAAGCTAGGTGTACTTGATGTCTTTCTACCACCTAGCTTGAGGTGGAGTGTTGAGACAAAATATGTAACTTGAATACAGTGGTATTTTAGTCTATTTATGTGTTAACAGATTAGTGTATTAGTTAGTTAGTTAATGATACATGCAATTGGTTAGTGAGGTAGTTAGAGTAGTTAGTTAAGCCTTGTATATATACATAGCTTGTACAAGTAATGAAAAAAGAACAATCATTTTTCCACTACTGTTACATTCATCTTCATGCTCCTCTTCTCTTCTCTCTTCTCCCTCGTTAGTTATGGTTTCTATCTCTTCTTAAACCTCCATTTCAACATGTTTAACGTTATTTTTTAATTAGAAGCATGTCGAGACTTCATAATATACTTCAGAACTTAGAAGGTTTTAAATATTGATTTGATCAACCATTATTTTATTAAAAGTTTGAGTTCTATACTCCGCAATATAAAAAATATTGATGAATTTGAGATACGTGCACCAATACTGTAATGAATTGTTTACACCATTGGTTCAATATAACCTGCAATTACCTTTAAGTTCATGTACGTTCTCTTTTCATTATAATAACGAAATAGTTTCGTCTCGGGGTAAATTCAAAGGACAGAATACTATATAACACTATCTTTTTACATCTCTGAGATAGTACATAAGATAGGGTTGATGGAATTAATATAACGTTTCTATACCTCGAAAGAATTCTTTAATTTTTGTGCGAGGTGTGGGGTATGAAGAATTGTATGCACTGATGCATGTCTAGTTACACTGCACTAATTAATTACGTTTATAAGATTTCACCAGGAAAATTCTAGTACATTTCCTGCAGCAGCCATGAAAAAGAACTCTTTTGAATTGAACGAATTCAAGACATTAAAGTACATTCAAGTAGTAGGTTTCTTTCCTTCCCTTTTCTTTTTTGGTAGTGGTGTCTCTTTTATCATGCTAAAACATAAAACAAAAACATTAAATCTCTCTGGTTGGTGAGAAGTAAAAAGTATAAAGTGAAGGGAATATAATGACATAAAAAAGACTTAACATTATATGATGGACAGAACATGGTAAAAGAACTACTCTTGCAATCTAGTATTCAATATCTTTTAGACTGATCTTAATGACACTAGATCAAATAAAATAAGTAATTATATTTCCAATGGGCAGCATTAGTGTATAAGGACTACCCAAAATTCTGAAACAGAAACTTTTTAGAATTTTCTCTCCAACTTAAGAGAGAGTGCTGCGTGGATTTTGCATTATCTCCTAATTTTACTAATCCAGAATTAAAGGCTAAATGCACCGAGCGTGGTACATATAAAGTACAAAAAATTAGTGGATTAAAGCACAAAACACATACACCGAAAGGTGACGAAATTTGTCAAAGCTGATTTATGTACTACCATGAGTTTACTTATCACAGCTGTAATGAACTCTCGATTAAAATTATTGTTTTTCTATCCAAAAGATAAAAGTGTCTTAAAAATTAAGTGTACTTTAACTTTTAGAGCATAGAAAAACATTTACACTATCATGTCACATAAGAAATAATCACATATAATCACTTATGATAAATGAAAAGTGCGACTTGGTTACCTAGCATAAGGTAAGTGACCTGCTATAACATATTAACATACATTAGTTGATAATGTAAATATGTTTATAGCAGATAACTCGCCTTATTTTCAAGATTTTAAAACTCATATTTCATGAACTATAGGATATAGATATTTTTTGGATGATCTTATATAATGGAAAATTTCTTCACACAAACTCAAAACTAAATCCTCAAAAAGTATTGCGTGTTGTCCTAGGTGAAACCTTGAATTCTGTCAGACAGGCGACAAGCATAATTATGGCATATGCCTTAATCAGAATTAAAGAAGTCAATATTAACCACTCGACAAGAGAATCAAATCTTTTTTTCCTTGTTATATAAAGCTACTGAAAACAAAAAGCAGTACTGATAGTCAAAAAGCCGAAGATCGAAACGGCTACGCTTATGTGCTGATCTTTTGCTAAACGCCGCGTAATAATTAAGAAAATATTGTTGGGTGTGCGAGCAAAGTTTCACATTGGTAACTGAAAAGATTGGGAGTCTACATATAAGGTGTAGGGATCTCTTAATGGTGTGAGACCTTTTGGGGAAAATCGTGCGGGCTTGGCCGAAAGCGAACAATATTAGACCATGTTAAGAATATTTTTGGGTCGTTTAACCCAACAACTGGTATCAGAGCCCAGGTTCAGCGAGACGAGTATAGAGATGGCGGAGTGATGGTGCAGGCCGGACGCACACAAGCAGAAGCTAGTTGGGGGCTTCGGGTGCCATAATACTCTAACAATGTGGGTGGCACACAGTAATCTCGGAAATTGACTCGTGGATCGTGGTAGTGGGCCACGTGGAACTTAGTTCGAGGGGGAGATTGTTGGGTGTGCGAACAAAGTCCCACATTGGTAGCCAAAAAAATTGGGAGTCTACATATAAGGTATAGGGATCTCTTAATGGTGTGAGGCCTTTTGGGAAAAACCGTACGAGCATGGCCCAAAGCGAACAATATCACACCATGTTAAAATTATTTTTGTGCCGTTTTAGCCCAACAAATATAACTGCGGACGGTTGTGAAAAAAAGAAGAATCCTTGGCGGATCTCTGAGTCTGAATTGTTAATTTGATTGTGAAAGTGACAATGAAGAATAAATGTTTATACTACTGCAAGTTGCACACCACAACATATCGGCCTCAAAAAATAATCTTTTTTGGAAAAGTTATTGGACTAAATTGGTCAGTAAATTTTTCTTGAAAACTTTATTTTGATGCCACAAGCACTTGTCTAGAACAATTTGTATGACTGACGTGTTTGACCAAAAAGTTGTAGGTCTTTTTGTTAAACGAATTTAATAAGAAGATAGAGGGTAAATCTTAATCAAAGACAATCACTTCAAGATCGGGAATCACAAATAGGTATAAACCATTATAGTTGAGCGTGAAAGGCCAATATAGTCCCGCTTGTACTCCCCAATATAATGAAAGATGGCAATTTACATAATATCAAATGGAAAAGAGAAGTAACAACATATCTGTATTCTCTTGAGAAGGTTGAATTACAGATGAATACCAAGATTCTAAGCTCTTTTCTCCTTTTGGCAATGGGTCTGAGGCAATGGACCATCTTTCCTCTCTGAAAGGTGTGTTCTCCTTGGATCTTTGGACCGCCCTCCTTTGTTACTCTCTCTCCTAGTATTTATATAAAACACTTTCATTACCCATCGGTCCTTAACTTGTGTACCCCCATCTTTTGAATATCATGTGGAATAATCCTTTAAAATGGCTAAGTGTCGAACTTGTCGTACGAGCCTCATGAGTGCTCGACTTCAGCTATAGCCGGACTGCTTGCCGGTGTGTTGCTTCCTAATCGTGACTTCGGCTTGGCCGACCACAGGCCGTTCTCCCTTAAGTAGACTTCTTTTGATAAGATTTTGACCCATACAAGACGCAGAATATACGGATGCACAAGGATAAAAGTTAAAGAAAAAAAAATCAGCAAACAACTTTACTACATTAGATAATAATAGTTCTTAAAGTGTCAAAGGATGCAGCAACATCGTTTACAATCCAACTAGGAATAGTAGAAACCCAAGTAATTCCATGTAATAGCGAGATAGAAAACTTGGATAAATTATGTGCTAAGAAACCCAAGTAATTCCAAAGACTTGAAGCAAATGACCACCTTGTGCTGATGGAGATTAAGTGGAATGAGAGCTTGAAAGTTGGCTTAAAAATAAATTGAATGAGCTGAAAGTTGGCTTGAACGTGCTGTTAAAACGTGGACCTAATTCACATACGCAAGATTATGCGTACGTAGTGAAAAAAAGAGTGGGTTGATATTGCTTAATGTCTCAAACTCATGGCGCATTAACATGAAACCCAATCCACAAAGTAAATCATAAAAAAGCACTTTCTGTGGCTGCTGGGATTCGAGCCCAGGTCTCCACGGCCACAACGTGGAATTCTCACCACTAAACTACAGCCACATTTGTGTTTTGTTGTTCAAGTTTATAGAGTAATTAATGTGAAGTACCTAAAGGTAACAAATTAGGTCTAGCTTAGATGGCTGTCCGATATAAGAAGAAGTCCAAAATTATTGGAACTGGAAGCTAACCAAAGAATTTATTTGACTAATATTTACAAACACAATTGCAAGGCATATTAAGGAAGAAAGATTTTTTCCTTCTTTTTTTTCTTTAAGATTTAGAAAGAGAAATCAAGGTCCAAGTATAACATTGATAAGTACTGAAAAGGAAGTATATGAGCTTCTACGTTAATAGATCTCTAGGACGCAAACATATATGTCTTAGAACAATAAAAAAATCATCATCAGAAAACATGTAAGAAATAAATCCTAAACAAACGCACATAAAACTTATTCCAGAGTTAAGAGTTTTCTTTCGAGCATAGCGTCTAATTAATTAGTGTTCTTTGTGCTGTGAGCTTTTGCTTCGAATGTTTCATGCCTGATTTAATAATCTGTTTTTCACTTACTCCAGATTTTCTCTGGATATATACACCAAGAAAACTTTGTATTTCTAAGCTCCCGTGATATTATCACTTTTTGTCCGCGCCAAAAACAATTTAAATTCGGTAGCCGAAAAAGTATATAAAATTAGTATAATTTTTGTAGATAACATACAGATTGAATATATATATACAAAAAATATACATTATTTTGGCTATTATTTTGAGAGC